GTACCAATGTTGCGCCAACGTTGGAGTGTTTCCGTTGGTTGTCGGTTTTTGCGATGCGTACAAAGGGATTGGGACCAATATTTGTGTTACCGACCACACAATCGCGTATTTATTAAGTCTATTTGCAAGGGGTGAAGTGGTGAAGATAATATTTTATTACAAAATATAGTCTGAGACGGTATGGCAAAATGAGAGTGTTGAATTCTTTCAGTTATATCAAGCAAAATCACTATTATGAAACCCAATGTCCAAGGAGCATAAAAATCGAAATGCCATTGCTGCAATGTTTACAAGCTAGTTTTAGTATGGTTTGCTCAGTTGCTGATTAAAAGACAAATTTCTACATCAGACACGTTGTCTCTGACGGTAACGGACTGACATTGTGCCAATTCTTCCCTCAATGTGTGGAAGCCATAACGAACATGAAACCCAACGATCGCCAACGCTGGCGACAATGTTGGATCCAATGTATGGAGCCAACATAAGATGGTCTTCTGAGAAAATATAAGAAAAATATATAATTCTGTTGGAACGAAAATCAATCCATGTCCATGACCGTATTTTTCAATATCAATGATCCATTTTTAAAAATTTCCCGCACCCGTCGGCTATTTTAACTACCGTTCAAAACTCCTGGTGGGTCGTGTGCAAAAAAATTCCGTACAAAATGTTATTTTTAAACCCGTTACACCTATTTAAGTTTCCCAATCCTAATTTTAAAATTAGCCATCATAAATATTTTTCGAGCTGACGGATTCTCAAACAGCGAAATATATGAAATCTTGGTTCTGCTCTTTTCATTCATTAGTATAAATGTTTTGGATATTATTAGATTTTTTATAAGATTTATGGACATCAATTTAAAACGAATCATACCTTTTTCTTTCCTATATACCTGTAACTGTAAATAGAAGTCATTAAAATAAACAACTTTTTCAAAAAAAAACTCAAACGTAAGAAAATGTATCTAATACCAATACCATTCACTGAAGTGTTAAAACACAAGATAAACCGCTCACTGTACATTCTGTACAACACCGATGACGCACTTTAATGTATATTACATTTTGTATTTTGAAGATACTCACCATAAAAGCAACATATTATAATGACCGAAAAAGTGTGTGATTCAAGTTAAAAACAAAACCTAAAAAAAAATGTAAAAAAAGATAAAAACGAAAACAGACTTCTCATTTAGCTTAATACAAGTCTAGGCTCGGATTTATATTTTTTATTTCTCTTACCTATTTTTGAGTTTTTTAAAAGTGATTTGAATAAGATGTTTATTTTAACGACTTCTGTACGCAGTTAAACAAAAGTATCGACTTAGGATTCGTAGCGAGTTATAACAAAAGTAGCTTTATTATAAAGAAAATATTGGTTTTCCAAATTTTGTAGTCAAAAAACAGTCTACAAAAAAACAATTTAACCCTAAGCCCCTCCCCTAATTTACCCACCTATGAAGATGAGCACAAACTGGCGTTTAGTCCATTAAGTAGAGCATAAAAAGTTTAGCATTTGTACCAAATTTCACTTGGTTATCTTTAAAAGTTTAGGAAATTTTTACAAAAATGTGTCATCAGGACTTTACTTTTAACACCCTGTATCTTGGAAACAAAACGTTTTCGGACCTATGTTTACATAAACTTTTACTCCTACTTTAAGATGTAGATTACGCTGTTAAAACATGACCTTTTAATTTCGGAACACGGGTGGAAACTTTTAAATTGAAATGTAATGCTAAATAGTTATAAATTTTGAAGACCAATCTGAGAACCAAAATATTATGGACATTTTCCGAGATATTCGATTATAGACAAATTAGTTCGGTACATAATTTAATTTTCATAAATGCAGGACCACCATTAACTTTTTTATTTAGATATGAACCAGTATCATGTTCAATGCTGAATACAATAATGTAACAATTTTGTGATTAGTCAACATTTCGGAAGATTTGAAGTAAGTAAGTATTGCTCACAGCCCATTTTATGTTTAGGTTTAAGAATCTGGAGTATATTCCACATCCTGGCCCTTGTTTTGTTTTAGAACCGTCGGTGTGGATATGAATTGTACCTGCCACTTCCGGCTCTTCTATTTGTTCTATTATAACTTTATATGGCTTATGAAAAATATATTTCGGTGAGATGGAGTCCATGTTCGCTTGAAGCAGTGAGAGCGTATCGAGCGCCTCCTGCCAAAAGTGATGTCTCGCCTCACCAGATCCTACATCAGGTTCTATTCCGACCATGTCACTATCGTCAGAGCAACCTCCTTGATGTAAATATCAAGGGGAGTGAGACTAAGAATGACTTCCATGGCTCGAGTCGGTGTTGTTTTCATGGTTCCTGTTATGTTGAGGCGCTGTTCTTTGAATTTGTTCTAGTTAACGGATAGCTGTTAATTTTTGGGTTTTCGGTACCCAGACAACTGTACCGTATGTTAGCATAGGTCTTATGATAGCCGTGTAAGTCCATGCAACGGAGAGAAACCACAAGTGTTGTCAAAGGTGAGACCTAGGTACTTCACCTCTGTTGCAAAGTTTAGTTTTGTGTTTAGGAGTTCTGGAGGTTTTACTTTTATTTTCATCCTTTTCCTTGTGAAAAGGACCATCTTCTTAGGATTGATAGACACTCAATGGTCCTTGAATCAGTGTTCTATAATTTTTAGAGCTACTTGCATTCTTCCGCAGAGTATGTTCTCAACATTCCCTGTTTTCAGAATAACCAGGTCATCTGCATATGTTATTGTGTAGTGACTGTCATTATTGAGGCGGCTAATGAAGGTGTAGAGGATCATATTCCACAGTAGAGGTGATAGCATCCCTCCCTGTGGACATCCCCTCGCAACCAAGCCTCTTATATTCACATCTTCTACACTTATGTTTACTGCTCGCTTTGAGAGCATGTTATGTATCCACTCACTAACCATTTGTGGAACATTCCTGTTGGTTAGTGCGTGTATTATCTTTGGGAAGGTGGTTTTATCAAAAGCACCTTCTATGTCTTAGAAAACACCAAAGGCGGACTCCTTATTGTCCAGGGATCTTTCTATAGGGCCAGCAACTAGATGAAGGACTGAATCAGTAGATCTGCCTGGGGTGTATGCATGTTGGTCTGGGTGTAGTGGTGTTGTTGTAATCACCGCATCCCTTATGTACCTTTCGCATAGCCTTTCCGATGTCGGACCTGTATTATGAATTAATTGGAATACGCAACTACATTATAAGAGCTAAACGTACATTTATTTCCCTTTAGTTAATTGTATTACTAATGACGAAAATAATTTATTTGTAAAAATAATTTACAGTTTTACATCTTTAACCATGCAATTTCAAATATATTGTGAACATTACAGACGCAAATGAAAATTTGACGTTGGTATTTAATATTCTTAATTTCTAAAACCAATAATACAGCATTTACTAAACCAAAATTTTTTAACTGAAAAATACAGGTCCGTACTTACCTAATGATATTCAAATCTTCCGGAATGTTGACTATTCCCAAAATGTTGTTACTTCATTGTATTCTACAATGATAAATCATCTGTCGCGTGACATAACCTCCAAAACAATTTATATCAACATGACTAAATGTGCGATATGCAATCGACATTTCATCACGCCCATGTGTACGTATTTACAGTAGTGAACGTAGAAAAAAAATATCTTGCGATTACTACTCTTATCTGATTAGGTTTCATATACACCTAATTTAACTAATCGTCATCAATCAATAAAATATCTTGATCGCATTTTATGTGTTCCTATATCAATGAATTTCAAGAAAAAAATCAAAAATATAAGTACTCACCAAACTTCCACGATGATACTTTTATGGTATTATTATTCTTGTTGTGGATAATAATTGTGATTTGGATAGTTCAGAATTTTGTAAAGGGTAAAGTATCTGATATATTTTTGGTGTGCCAGTTAAATTTATTAGAGAATATATCGAAGAGTAAAACGTTACAATTTCTACTTCAAGGTTGGTATGAATACAATATCACAAATATATACATGACTGTATCTTATCTTATGAGGTACAAACAAATTAGTCGATATATTTTTTATATTTGAACAACTAGCTCAGAAAAAAATTTACGGAAAACCAATACAATTAGTTCTATTTTAAAGTTTATATCAAGAATAGCATAATATCACAACTATGGTTGTCGAAAATCACATTAAGTATAAAAAATCTATCTACTGATATGTCGCTGGGTTCCATATTAGGGCCAGTACTTTTCATTAAACGACTTGTGTAATACATATCCATCTAATAACAGTATATTTTATGAAGACGATATTAAATTTATCGTTAATCTTGAAAACTGTCATATGTAATTTAAACTATTGTTCCAAAAAACAAAATATATAGTGCAATCCATTCACAAAATCAAGCTTAACGGCATTTCCTGTAAAACCATAACTCGCCCATTTTGTTACATACGCTGCTATATTAAAAATTAGCCTTCCTGTTTGTTCAGCGAATTTTTTCACCTTTTTGAAATAATTTAAGTTTATTTACCTTCGACTATTATATCTTATAATGTACATATTGGCCAGTATATCCACCAGAAATTAGCCTATTTGCAATTGAGCCTTGTACGAAGAGTATAATCGAAGAAAACTGTGTTTTACTTTACTAAGGCTCAACGGAAAGAAAACATTCCTCGTAGTTTATTAAAACTTAATTATATTGTATAATATTTTATACAACAAACTCTTTTAAAGTCTTTGGTTAAAAGTTGCAAATTTTTTCCTTTAACCAGTACAAAATAAAAACATAAGACTATCTTCAAATTTCTATATTTATTGTTGATGTCTAAGGATTTTGAGTTATACTAAACTATTTCTATATTTTCTTTTGTATATCTTACCACAGTACCACATGCACCCAGTGACCTACGATTACTATTAGAAGATGTGTCTTTTTTTTGTTAGATTTTCGAAGCTATTCTCTTCTTGTCTATTCTAATTCGACGTTGCTTTACAGAGGCCCTTTCTGTTTTGATCTACGTGAGACCCAAACAACCAGCTCCACCATGGACGCGATCAAGAAGAAAATGCAAGCTATGAAGCTTGAAAAGGACAACGCAGCTGACAAGGCTGACGCGATGGAGGGTCAGTACAAGGACGCAAACGCGCGTGCCGAAAAGATCAACGAGGAAGTTCGTGACTTGCAGAAGAAGCTTTCTCAAATTGAGAACGAATTCGCAACCAACAAGCAAGCTCTAGAAATGGCCAACCAAGAACTTGAAAACAAAGACAAACAACTTACCCAAGTGAGTATTTATCGATTACTTTTTCACCTTATTAGGGGCAGAATGTTTAAAAATGCTTCCTGTGATATAAAGTCGTTATACTTTCAAAATGTGTTCACCATAATCCATCAAAAGTCTTCTTCTTTACTATTTCATAGTATTTGAAGATCCCATGAAGGTAGAAGATAGTGAGATGCTGTCACGTGGTTTAAGAAAGGTTCAATTTCACCACTTGTGTTTACGAATCCGTCAAACAGCTAATCGTGGTTTAAATCAAAGTTCTTTACATTTTTATGTCGTTTGCAAACTAAATATATTGTTCATATTAAAAGTTAAATAATGGTCGCTTCTGCTTAACGTAGTTGTAGCAGCCTAACAGATATTCATACGAAGAAATTATCAACAGTGGGATTTACATCATTCGTCGTTAATTTAGCAAAATGGCGTATATCGTTTTCGCAAACTTTTCAGGCTAGCGCTTTAAAAATTTTAGTAATTTGTCCCTTTTACAAATCAATAACTAAGCCAGATACAAAAATCATTTTTGGATTCACAATAGAATAACTTTTTAACTTTTTATTGCTAATAACCCATATTAGGTAAATGTATTTACAGCAAAGATATTTTTAAAAATATGATATACGCTACTTAGCAAAATTATAAATATATACCAAAGTGCTTGTATTTATACACAATTTTAATATAAGGTGTAATAACCATAAATACCAATTTAAATCAAAGTTAAACCTTAAACTTAATAATGTTTAAACTGTTAAAGCGTATGGTAGATTCCTGTAAAAATCATGAAAGTTGTTCAGTCTCATTACCGATTGAAAACCTTCACATAATGAGCGCCTATAATAGAGAGATACTTTTTCTCAGCAATTTTTTTCCGTTTTGTTAGTATAACTTTTGAACGGTCTTGAATTGAAATACACCGCTTGGAGAGACCATGCATCATTCCAATTGCCATCCTTATGTGTATAAAACTCAAATTGCCATTTTGCTCATATACGCCACTTTGCTAAATTAGCGACTATATGTCGAGTCGCATATCTTCGTTAGACAAACTGCGATTCTTCTGTAATGTCTCTCTTTCTCTATTCAACACGTAACATGTCGAGTTCGCACATGAATTCATGTGTTGAAATAACATTCTACAACTAAGTATACAACATAGTAAACAATGTGCAGGGCGGTATTTGTGAAATTGATGTCTCAAGACCACATAGAGGTTTTCTTTGATTGTATTCGTTTAAAACGAAGTCACAACAATAACCGTACTGGCCCGAAATTTCTGGAGGCCATGTTCAACCTCGAGAAAAAGTGATTTTTCAAAATGTTCATGAAAAATGTCATACGTTATCGTAAAAACAGTATTGAGTATCTAGTATTATTTTGAAGTATCTACTACTGACACAGCTCAACTAATTTGAAGAATCTACTACCTAAGGTTCTCTAAAACACTTCCATTTTCTTAGCAGGTGACAAGGCCACTTGTTTTTACGGCACCGCCAAGAAAATAATTTGCAAACCAGCAAATATTTTCTTGTTAAGCCTTAAAGACAAAATTGTGAATGTAACCAGATAATTAATTACCGTCATAACTTATAATATATACTTGAATAATTTATTATATACATCATCGATGTATCTTCTTCTATGACTTACATTCATACTAATTTGCAGTCGCTGAAGTTCCTCATAGACCAACCAACAAACTGAAGTAAATATTACTAAGCATCCCATTTATAGGATATGCTATGAAATTATGAAGTAGATACTTCTAAGGCGAAGTACCTTCCTCTATGTATAGGGTACATAAGAATAAATACTACTTGAACGAAGTAAATGCTACATTGTAATGAAGTCAATTTTCATTACTATTATTATTATTATTAATTAATTCCGGGTATTAATTTCGATTTTCAATTAATTTCAACTTCGTGGATATGCCCTGTATATCATCAGTTTTATCGCTGTTCAAACCATCGTCGAGGTACTGTGCCTGCGCGCGTTTTAATGGTGGGATTTTCTGATGTAGTAGGGCATGCGACGACTAAACGTGGTCCGAGATTGAATTGAAATTTTTAGTTCCTAATATACCGATTTATCGAACAGACTTGCTTTGACACCGTTAAATCTAATAGTCGATTAAACGCTAAATACCTACGATCCCGAAAATTTATTTCACGCCGCGAGGTAAAGTTTGTTGATAGTTTTTTTTTGATAATTTCTTTCGTGCCCGAGACTTTAAGCCGTGCTATTTGAAACCGATTTAATTTTATTTATTCCGTGTTGAGTTAGGATTTCATTTGTTTTGATTTAAAAATACTTTAATTTATTCTTGTTAGAATACACCGTTCTTAATAAATTTCATTTTAGTTTATTTAAAGTTTTGAGCGTTAAACAATTTATTTTTTTTATTTCAATCGTAGATATAGTCGTATAGTTAATTTTTCCTATTACTGGAAATTTCCGTTAATAAATAATACATTTCATTTTAGTTTATTTAAAGTTTTGACCGTTAAACAATTTATTTTACATTCGATTGTAAATATAGTCGTATAGTTAATTTTTCCTACTACTGGAAATTTCCGTGTAAATAATAAATTTCATTTTAGTTTATTTAAAGTTTTGAGTGTTAAACAATTTATTTTTTTAATTCAATCGTAGATATAGTAGTATAGTTAATTTTTCCTACTACTGGAAATTTCCGTTAATAAATAATACATTTCATTTTAGTTTATTTAAAGTTTTGACCGTTAAACAATTTATTTTACATTCGATTGTAAACATAGTCGTATAGTTAATTTTTCCTACTACTGGAAATTTATGTGAATAAATTATACATTTCATTTTAGTTTATTTGAAGGCTTAACCGTTAATTAGTTTATTTTTCATTTAATCGTAAATATAGTCTTATAGTCAATTTTTCCTACTGCAAGAAATTTTCGTGAACAAATAATACAGTTTATTAAAAACATTATCCAATAAATAATTAATTGGAACTGTTTGGGAATTGCCTAATGTTTTGATTGGTTATATTTGTAGAATTGCGACGAGGCATTTTCTTTTGTTTTATTCTCCGAACTGCAAATTTTAAGAAAATTTAAATAGCATCATTCCCAGTTTGAAGCGGCTCGTGATTACGATCGCTTCATCCAGAGATAAGGTGTTATCCCGGCTATTAGTTCATTCTATATCTAAAAATTAATTTGCGTTAGATCTCCGTTATTTCAACAGAAATAAAATAGTATCATTCCCCTGTCTGAAGCGGCTCGTGATTACGATCGTCTCATTCAGAGATAATGTACTATCCCGGTTATTAGTTTATTTTCCGTCTGAAACCCTCATTTGCGTTAGTCTCCGTTATTGTAAGTGAACTCAAATAGTATCATTCCCCTGTCTGAAGCGGCTCGTGATTACGATCGCCTCATTCAGAGATAGTGTGCTATCCCGGTTATTAAATTTGTTTTATGTAAAACTCCGTTATTCAATTGACATTAAATAGTATCATTCCCCAGTTTGAAGCGGCTCGTGATTACGATCGGTTCACTCAGGGATAATGTACTATCCCGGTTGTTAGTTGGTTTTACTTTCCAACCACTAGTGAGTAAACCTCTTATAGGGTCCCGGTTTCAGCTCTGGAATTAGTATTATCCCGAACCTGTCTCCTCGCATTCTCTGCAACCAATATAATATTTTGTTTTACTGAAGCATTCAATTACATTTGATTGTAAATACCGATTAGAAAATTTAACAGTTAATTTTTGCTACGACCAAAATAATACTGCCGAATGAAATAGCAAATTGCATTTTTAACTCAACAACAGAATAAACAATTCAATAATAAACTTTTACTGCGACCGTGATAATTATAAGTATTGATTTCATTTATTTTTCTTTACGTCTGATTGAGACTACTCGAAAGTCATTTCCGTCCGTTTTGTTTGTTTATTTTTGTTCAGGGTTTGTACATATTACCGTGAGGGTGGGCGTTGAAATATTTAATTTATTTTTTTTTATTGTAAATAGTTAACCACAATATATGTGTCAATGTTAACCTGCCGTATTACTGGTTGTTAATTCCTAAATTTATTTCCCCCTTATATTTCAGCTAGTGATTAATTCTGTACCAGCCCAAGCAACGATTAAAGCCCGTTACTTGTGGCCTACTATTACCTGTGTCTAAGTAACCTTTGACCCCTGGAATTTTTCATCTCCATCTGTAGCTACCCGAGTACTTTCGACGCCGTTTCGAGAGTTTGTGGAGTAAACCATTACCAAAAATCTGGCGCTCGAGAACCGCCCGTAACCAGCGTCATTCGTAAGGAACCGTTTTCTCTGTGGCGAGAAAACCCCTTACAAATTTGGCGCCCGAGCAGGGACCTGGTTACCTAGTTACTTCCCGATAGGTAATCCCTTGCTATTTCCGCCCTGCCGCATCAAATTCTTTTTCTGTTTTGCTTTATTTTTTTTCTTAACCCCGTCTCTTTCAAATCCCTGTACGTATAGTACGTAATCTAGTCCGCTCCCCTGTAAATTAGAACCTTTTTTTTCTCTAGTTTTTATAGACCAGTAATAAACCAGATAACATTGACTAGCCGTAAAAGTATAGTAAATTAGAACTTGATAAACCGTTCACAATTAAGTACCAGAATTTCAACGCCACCTGGATTCCCATTTTTTTTTGAAGAAACCGATTACTCTTCTTCTACCTTGCAGAATTTTTTTATTTTCTTTAATAAAGCCCATTCCGTAACGACAAAAACCCATTCGCGTTCGCTTCTTCTTTGAGTTTATGTCCGAACCCACTGCCGACGACATCTGGAAAACAGACACGGAAAACGACGTATCTACGGAACTAAGAGTACCGACCGCCGAAACATACGAAACAGACACATCAGAACCAACAGAGGTTCCATCTACGATCACTACCCAAGTATCCTGGGTATATCTATTAAAGAATCCAGAGCTTACTAAAGAATTGGAAAATAATAAACTCGCTGTCAGTGGCA